CCACCCCCCGGAAAGAAAAAGCTCAAAATCATGAGAGTAATAAATCAGAAAAAGTCAGTATAACTTTTATCTTTACAGCCAGACAATAACTTTCACCTTTTATTGTAATTATATTCATCCCTTTGTCTTTTTTTGTTAGTCCTCATCTCCCTCGTTAAAAAACAGGTTTGATAAATAACAGTCACAGTGTCTGAAAAAACACTTAGGTAAGCCATTTCTAGCTTCCTGCTGTTTCCTGAATGCTGTCTCAGGTGTGTTATGTTTTCTGTAACATCTGTGCTTTTACTAATATGACCATTTATTTTGTTGTCTTTGTGAAAGGTTGATTGATAACAACAATTGTCTCTTCAAAAATGTCCGTCCTTGCATTTTTCTCTTTTCTCCTGTCGTTTTCCCACTAATGATGAACTGTGGACATCCTTTATAAAAACGCTGAAGTTTTTATGTTTCTTTATACATACTCCGTAGGGACATTGTTCATCAGGCTAGCAGCACAGGGGAAGAAACTGTTCTTGTGGAGAGAGGTTTTGGTCCTGATGGACCGCAGCCTCTTGCCAAAGGGGAGGGTCTCAAACAGTCCATGTCCGGGGGGTGAGAGGTGCCGGCCAAGATCTTACCTGCAAGCTTCAGGACCCTGCAGGTGAACAGGTCGTGTAGAGATGGTAGAGTTCAGCCAATCCCCCTTGGCTGTGGCTGCAGTGTACCAGACTGTGATGGAGGAGGAAACGATGGAGTCAATGATGGCAGTAGATAAAGCCATAGAATAATATGGATTTAGCGAAATAATAGTATTAAATATTTTCATGCAATTCGAAACTATGGAGGCCTATATATATAGAAGTCAAGAAAATGTCATTCTTAACAATAGGCAAAGTTTGGACAAGATGTGCAGTGATGGGACTGTTAAGCATGAATAAATGAGACACATGAAATAAAAGTCACATTTGTTCACATTTGTTGTTTGGATGTGACAAATGAGTCTGATAAAGACTGACACATATCTGAGTAATATATCTTACATAATGCAACAATATAGATATGTGAAATTGGTTCAGAGTAGGCTCGAACTACATACAGTGATTGCTGTGAAATCCACAAGGAAAAGGGTCATCACAGGAAGCCATTACAGCAGACCACAGAGATCCAGAGAGCCCAGAACCATTTGGTGATACGAGGGGAAAAGGAAAGTTTGTGCTTTTTTCTGCTCCACTGTTCCAACTTTTAATGCAGTTAGGATCCAATGTGATGCTTTTAGAGACGTTTAGTTTACGAGCCAGCATGACCATCAAAAAAACATCAGTGCACATCCTATCTGAGCAGCTTTCATCCACACATTAACGACAAGAAGCGCTCTCTACACTGCTCACAAATATGTCATTTTAATATATACAAACAGCATCTCAACCAGGCATCACTTTGGTTATACTTTGGCCTACTTTAGCATGTTTAGCTAACAGTTACACAGTTCAGTGTTTCATGTTTGCACTTACTCATTACTCTTGGGAGTTCCTGAGCTCCCTTTTCTTATCTCATAGGTCCCTGTGGTTCATTGGTGTGGATGGCCTGTAAATATCAACCTTACATAATTATTATAAATCTTAAAGTGAATCTTAGCTGCTCACTTCAACCTCTAGAATTACCAGTCCTCCCAATTTCTTGATCATTACAGTTTCTAATCTTAATATTAGACTAACCCATCTATTATCATACTTAACCGTTACTGCCAACATGATTTTACCATTATTACTGGCATTGAAAATCCATTTTATTCATTTGTCCTTTTTGGACTGCAGGGACTTTTGTAGTTCTAGTTGATGGAACCCTCCCCACTTTTTTCCATTGAGTCCTCACCACAGGAACTGTGAACTATTTGAGTTCCTAGAACCCCTTTAGAGGAACCTTTTTAGCTCCCGGGTTGTTCTGCATCTCCCTCTGTCCCCTCTTAACCCCAACACCGTTTCAGCAGGTGGCTGTTCAACGTGAGTCTGGTGTTTTTGCTTGCCATTGTAACTTTGCTAAATGTTGCTTTGTGCCTCAGTGGTTGATTAATACTTGTTTAGGAGTACAGAATACTGGAGGTGGATTATGTGACAAATACCTGGGATTCCACATATTAAAAAAACAAAACAGGACTGGACTAAAAACACTGATGCCGTTTTGAAGAATTCACAGTAGACTGTATCTTCTCAGGAGACTCAGATATTTCAATGTCTGCAGAACCATGCTGCAGATGTTCTGTCACTCCATAAATCTGTGTGAGTGCAGCTGTAGGATTGATCTCAATACAGATATGCAGCCTGTCTGTTGGTTCACCTTGAATTGTACTCTGAATGATGAAACTGAAGACTGTTAGAGTATACCTTCACTGGGCGGAAACGTCTTTCTTCCCGTGCTTGGCAACAGGGCTAATGGTTGGACAGGAAGGGGTTTCAGTTGAATCAAACATGTTTGAGCCGCTGAGAGAATCATCAAAAGGTGAAGGAAGCACTGTCCCGTCAGTGTGAACATAGAGCTGAAAAAGAGGGAGGTTGACTTCTCGCTCTTTTAGAAAAGGCATTACTCACTGATATATTAAGATAGGATATATCTGATACCTGCTAAATAAATGTTAAAATGTTCCATATAATACCATTAAGGTTATATGACAAGATCAAATTTAAAAACAGCACAAAATACCAGTAAGCCGAGTATAGAAGCACAACCAGTAAAGGTAATTCATAGAATAAAATTGACTTACGTAGGAGTCAGTCTGCTTTCATAAAGTCTCCTCTTGACTGAATTATGAAATTGACTCACTGAAAAAGAACAGTGGATTGGTTTTTGATGCTTCTTGAAAAGCTTGTTAATGGACGATTAGGACGAGTAAAGTAGAAATGATCTGCAGCGTCTGACCTGGAGTCTGAGTCAGAGGAGACAGACAGAGGACGCTCACAGGCTGCAAGCAACCTTAAAGTTTCCATTGCTTCTTTTTCTGACTGGTGTTAACAGTCTGCTGCAGAAAGCTGTAAATGTGAGTTTAATTGCAACTTGTTATGTTAGCTGTGTTAATTACTTGGCTGCTGTCTCATGTTTGATGACTCGTATGAATCTTCTCTCTGCATAAAATGTTAAAATCTTTTCTCTGCCATTACTTTATATTTGATCTGAAAATCCCTGCCAATCATTTACCCAAATCCAAATGACTTTGGCACCAGGAAATCAATTATTTCTTTTAGATTTATTCATGTTTTTTAGTGCCACAATCTGGAAACGGTGCATCTATTAGCTTAAGTGCTTTGTTGAATTAGACTGTTGGAGTACACCTTGGGCTCGGCGATATGACAAAAAATGTTATCAGAGAAAATGATTAATTAGTACTAAGTGCATCATTATTAGATCATTTTGAATAATCTATATTGCCAATCATCATTATTTTAGGCTAGTCCCCTTCTATACACAGCAAACACATTAGAGAACTCAAAGTTTCATATTTTAAGCTTTACTAAGACCTTTTTCTACATTTTACCAAGCACCTAAACTTAACCAAACTTTACCCACATGAGAATCAGAAATACTTCATTTATCCCCGGAGGGGAATTAGGTCATTACAGATGCTCTTACACAAAATATAGCAGTTAAAAAAACAAAGAGACAGATATATTATAGATAGGATTAAAGTAAGAAATATAAACTACACAAAAGCGTGAGTATTTTAAAAAATAAAGCTATTTAGAAAAAGCTTCTGGAATATAATACATTAACAAATCTGTACAAAAGGGGCAGTATTGAGCAGTAGAGATATTGCACATGCAGAGTATTGCACATCATAATGCCCAATTAAAAACAGTGTGTTATCCAGTATTGCACACTTTATTTACTGAATCAATTTTATAATGGTTTAGAATACATGTTAACCATTGTATCAGAAGGAGGAGGAAGGTCTGGTGGACATGTTCATACTTTGCAGGTTTGTATGGGTGTGTTCAAGATTACATTATAAAAGATATGAAACTGGTGCACTTTGTCTGAAGCTTGCTGGTAACTTACCAGTTGATGTTACAGTCAGTCATTTTCTGAATCAGGTGCTCTTTACATGTAGTAGCCGTCATAGACGCTTAATTTAATCAGCATTAAGAATTTATCCCCACAGATGTTATATCAGATACAAATAAAATACATTGAGGGATTAAACACATCGAACAGGTGGAGGTGGAAGCTTGAGCTTATTGTATCTACATTTTTGCCATTGAATATTCTGTTCGGCAACCTTTTTTTTAATTTGCACCACTACAGAGCTCCTGAAGCCCCAAAAGGTAAATAAATATCTTATTTGCGCAAGATAGTTGTAAACTGTGCACAATATATTAAATTGTGCACTCAACATAACTTGTGGGAAGAAGATAAATATATTGTGCGCACAAGATATTAACTTGTGCCATAAATGCCCATATATGTTTCACTACCGCCACCATCTGGATTGAAATGCAAATATTTACAGTGACCACCCACACTGATCCATATTTCTGTTATGTCCCGGTCTATAATCCAGACACATTTGTCTGGCTCTATATGTGGTTAAGAGTGAGTAAAAGAGCCAGTATATATAATGCAGAAGATGAGGCTGATTAGGTTCAGGTGTGCAAAGTGGGCGTGGTGAAGGGCTGACCGCACGGAGGGAAAGTGAGACCACGCCCACCCCAGCACACAAGCATACACACAAACAGACAGTGGTGGATAGTTTAAAATTGGACACACAAAACACAGAGAAAACTAGGGATCAGATTATCAGCACGAACATGTCTTTTGTGCCACTTTCGCCCTAATGAAACATCCGTTGTACATTCCAGTGTGCACTTACGCAGCGTCAAAACACACTCAAGTGAATCATGTTGGATTGGACAAATGTAGAGCGATAATTACACATACCGAGAGAGAGAGAGAGAGAGAGAGAGAGAGAGAGAGAGAGAGAGATACTCTCGGGTGCTTCTTTCACTTTAGGGCTGAAGAGGAGGGACTAGAGCGCAGTCGGTTAATGTCCACTGTGAGTTCAGCGAGAGCGTCAGAGCGCGCGACATCTCCTCAGCTGTCAGACTCCGCGCGCGCTGCGTCTCCAAAACATCTGCCGTGTCTGCTCACCTATGCACGGACCCTCACCGGGCTCTCCCCGCTCCCCGCTCTCTACACACTCCCACGGAGTCTCCGGACGCGCGCGGATTGTCGCTCCTCGCTGCACTTTGCGCACAAACTCTTCCTCTCCACGTTTGTGTCTGCTGCCGCCCCTGTTCACTATTTCTCTCCTCTGAGGACCCCCCCCCCACCTCCCAGCGTCAAAGCCCCCGGGTTACACTGCACTTTTCCCTCTATTTTAAGCTCCAGTAAATAGTTTCGCGTTGAACTCGGACTGAAGAATGTGATTGTGGCTCATGGGGATTTAGTGTCGTGACATGCTTTCAGGACCCGGCGTCTCCACAAGGAAATGGTGAGTTCAATCCGCTTTATTCTCGCAGATTATCAGCCCACTGCACTTGGGTTTCCCACTCATCTTTTCTCCAGCGTGAGTGTTTGACCTCTGTAGGTCACAAGCCGGGGCAAGTGTCAGAAGAAAAATAATTTCAAATGTTCTGGTATTTCTGCTGAAGTATGTAGTTTATAAGTGCTCACGTCACCTTGGAGGGACTCCGTGTTCTCAAATCCGTTATAATATAATTACAATAACCCTTTTACATTTGGCCTGTTCTGCAAGATGTGTCAGTTTGATGTCATTTAGATATTTTTTCTTACAAGAACTTGTGATGGTTGTCTTAAAGGTAAAAGTGCTTGTGGAAGTATTTGTGTGTCTCGAGAAGTTAAAATAAGATTCTTAAGTTTGCATTTACTGTCAGTGTAAGAATAATTATAGTGTGTAGTTTTCATAGGTTCATAAGTAGGTTTGAATCTTTTGACCCGCTTCATATCACATCACTGATCTATCGATAACGAGCTATAGATCCACAATCTGTCAGCTGTCACATGGTGTGTGTGTGTGTCGTGTGAGAGAGAGAGAGAGAGAGAGAGAGAGAGAGAGAGAGAGAGAGAGAGAGAGAGAGAGAGAGAGAGAGAGAGAGAGAGAGAGAGAGGCATGAGGCTGTAAAGAAACGCTGGATTATGTAAGTGAAGAATCAGTGACAGAAAATCCGTTTTATTGCAGGGAAAGTAAAGGTTTCTGTGTTTCAGCTCGGACTGACAGCACCTAAATGTGGCACGATTTTTTACTTTTGATAACTTTTACTTTACTCATACTACTTCATGGTCTTTGATATGCATCTTCTTGATTTAGTCTATGCCTCTGAGTGTTGAAAATCATTTATTTTAAAAAGTAAAATTCAAAATTCAGTTCAGTTTTGAATAAGAATTTCATCCTCTTTCAACTCTAGAGTTTGATCCTAAGTTGGTAACTAAAAAATGAATCAATATTGATATGCCATGGACAAAAAAAAAGTCCATAGCCTATAGCTACCCAATTATGGGTAATTTGTTATTCTCAATTACCAAATCTTGCAGAAAAAACCCTGCACAATGTCTAAACAACACATGTGTAATTTAGACAGTGTGCGGAAGTTTACCTGCAATTTTTGGATTGATTCATTCCTCTCCAACTCATCTTTTATGAAATGTAGTTTTTTTCAAAGCTTTGGTACTTTTTAAATCATTAAAATAACCAACATTTTATGATTTGAAAGCACAGGGTTTATTGATTATTTGAATAACAATATTTTTTTCCCAGAACATTTTGAATGAATTTTCAAAATGCTCCCAAAAGATCTTACTCCATCGATGAAAAACAATGAAAACTTTAGTTTTTACCCCTTTACCTGACCCTATAATTATCTAGTATTGATAGCTTTCAAAGGCAAAGATTCTTTCAAATCTTTACATATTAATGTTTGAGGGAAGAAGTAGTTAAATATGCGCCCTCAGTCTGTGAGTTGGCGGAGGCTTGATTGACTCTATTGTTAGGTTATTTTATAATTTATCCAGTGTGTCTCTCTTCCTTTTAAAATATTTAAATATAGTTTAATATGACCAAAAAGCAGCAGCAGTTAGTTCCTTTTCTTTGTCTGACTTTGATGTTTGACACATTGCAAGTTGTCGATCAGTTCTTAAACGTCATTCGTTACTGAAACTACTGCACTTGCTCTTCACTAATTTAACCGTGCACTTACTGACTTAAGGACTTTGATTATTGTGGTTGTGTAATATTTATGGACAAGGCATGCAGGGAAACAACATGCCTCGATCAAAGGTGCAGGTTCAATGTTTCGCTGTAGGGGCTGATATGATGAACGGAGCTTCACCACTGTATCAGTCACAGTTCACACTCTCTCTCTCGCTCGCCCACAGACAGTGGGAGCTGCAGATTCAGAGCCATGTGAGATGGATTGGAGTGCCGCCAGAGCACTTGATTTTACAGTCAATGCAGATCACTTTATGTGTAAGTGATATGTGGATGAGGGTGACAGGGCTCCTCGTTTGTCTCTAAATCACTAGCTTTTAAAAGATCATTGAGGTCTCTTTTTTAAAGTTTCTTTGATTACGTAATCCATGCACACTACACACACCCTTTATTTAAAGTGGAGCAATACACTTCAAGTCAGGCAGAGAGCACACAGGGGCATCAGGGAAACAAGATGTCTTATTTTAGAAAAGATAAATAAGAAATAAAGGCTGGGCAGCAGCGGCATCTCTTCAGGTTTACTTGAATGGACTCGTGCATTGAAATCTCTCCTCCCACTCCATAACGAGGACAAGCTCTCTTCCAGATGTCCCTGTGATTACGTTCACTTTTCTCGCTTTTTCGCTTTCCTGTTGAGCTCAAGTAGGGCTGTTGAATTTATTTACCAGACCTTTAAACAAATTCATGTATAGTATTTAACGAGTGCTTGTGTGCATACTTTGCAGGGGATTGCCTTGAGAGTGTGTGTGTGTGTGTGTGTGTGTGTGTGTGTGTGTGTGTGTGTGTGTGTGTGTGTGTGTGTGTGTGTGTGTGTGTGTGTGTGTGTGTGTGTGTGCATACATTTGTGCAGCAGCGTTTGCATGTGGCGTGAGGCTGTGTTTGCACTGGACTTAAGAAAATAAGCCTCTAGGAAAAATGACTTGCCCACTTCAGTTTGTTGCAATGCCTCTAGGTGTGTCCAAAGCTGCTTTTAATATTCTTCTATCCACACCATACAGATCAGTGAGCTGGTTTGCAGACAGCGACTCAATTGAAAAACGTTCAGCTAAATAAGTGTCAAGCCACAATACAAATACACAAACAAAATGTTCCTTGGCAAGCTGATCAGAGAGAAAAATAGGATAGAATATTAAACTCTTGAGACTATTTTTCATTTATTCTGACACACATGAAGTGATTTAAACTCTGAGGAGACCCTGGGAAGGATCATGAACACCCCTGGAAGATCATATATCTCATCAGGCGTGGGAACGCGTCAGTTATCCCTGAGGAAAAGCTGAGGACGGAAAACTGTGTGAGCCAGATGATAAGCGGAAAAAACTGATGAATGATACATATCTTTATTTTCAAAACGCATCTTTTTAAAATTATGTTCTATAGTGTTATTGGCCCTAGCTGTATTGAGTTTTGCATATTGAGTGGGATTAGGTCTGATCCCCACAATTTCAAGCTGCAGAGCTTGTAAACAAGTCAGATGGATTTAGGTATGGATCGTTGGATGGACAAACATGTCCTCGCTCACTAGAGCTCATCAGACGGATCCAGCAGCTTTAATATGTCATTTGTGACGACCCCTGACTGTGGCAGTGCTTCTCCTGTGTTGCCTTGTATCTCTCCCCACTCAGGTTGCCTTCAGGTAGAGAGGGGCAGAACCAGTTAATTTGATGTCATGCACCTGGGCAGGCTCGGTCTGGTTTAGCTTCTCAGTCTCTCTGGCTGAATCTCGATTTCCTCCCCAAACCCTGAGCCCTTATGGACTTAATTGACGTCACTTGGGAAGTGATTGAGTGCACGAGGCTGCAAAGGCGAGAAATGATTTAATACCAACGGACTGCACTTTGCGACTTCTCTGTAACCATGACAGCACGATGTCATGTGGCATTAGATCTTTTTATTTTAGGTTTTTTACATTACTTTACTCACTCACAGCCATGGTGTTTATAAACAATCAATATGTTCTTTGTGTCTTTTATTTTTGTAAATGGACTTGTAGTGGAGTTCTGAATTAGCTGTAGTTTCCAAATATACTTTTTTGGTAAAATTAAACACAGCGTGGATTCACCTTCTAGCTTATTTACTCTCTCTCTTTCCCTGTTTTCCATTTTATTGCGTTTGTTTACCTTTCCATTCTTTTGGTCACAATGCTATGAACTATGGGTAATTCCCTCATGCTAAGTCTACAATTTACAAGTTGTTCTCATCACAACACTGAATAGAAGTTGGGAGTCATTTATTTCGTCTTTACGCTGACCTGTGGAGTTTAAACTGTCCTCTTTAACACCCTTCCTGTGATCAATGTGCCAGTACAGTATAGTTATTTTTAGAGTCAGTAAATGAGTACTGTATAGAGCCGTCAATATGGATGTCGAAGAAAAGGATTTTTGTATTGAATAGTTGGGAGCAAAGAGTCAGCCACACAGATGACTTACAGTATAGGACATGCAGTATATTTATCCCTATGTGTACAGCACATGTAATAATATACATTCATGTTTTGGGAGGATTCTCCTTTGCCCTAGTTGTGAGTATTTCTTATTTACATGATAACTTATTTAATATATTTAAGTTTTCACGTGTAAGTGCTGGACTTGTGCCATAATACTTTGGCAAAATCAAAATTCTATCCCATTGTTCTTGATAAATTATGTGCATATGTTAATATTTCTGCATTAATGATTTGGTTTTGGGTGAACACAATGCTGACCCACACTGTTCAGTGCCAGCGGAGGCGTCAGTGGGATGTTCATATCCTGCAGGGAGAAAGGAACAATGGAAGCTGTGGGTGTATCTGGTCTTGGACTGTCTTGCACTACTCGCCAGTGAAATCAAAGTTTACTTTTACTTCTCTCCTGTTCGCTGGTTTCAGCTTCTGTTACTGAAACTATACACTGAATTTAAAATGACGATGTGGGGACTATCGAATCTCAGGACGCATGTTAGTAACTGTATCTGTCTTTCCCGAACCAATTAGTGTTTATCCTGTTGACGCCTTTTTCGATAATCATGGAAGACTTTGTATTTGGCAGAAGAAGTGTAATGAGCATTTCACAGTAGTTGAAGAAATACGTTGAGTGATGTTGCATCTGCTAGTAGTTGATTAGAATAAATTAGATACACTTTATTGTACCAAGGGGAAAATCACCCTGGGCAATAGTGCAGAGAAAACATACAGCTCTGTGCAACTAACAACAAACAAGAACAACACAAGACAGAACAACTATAAAAACCATAAAATAGATTCCTATATGCACAAAGTAAAAAAACAT